ATCTCGTGTAAACCACGCAAGGCTCTCAGAACATCTTTCGGTGGGCCTACAGGAAACCCAGAACCCCGAAGTCATGATTTTTTCATGACCTCGACCCCAGAAGCCTCGACGCCTTCCCCGGGACCGGCTCTTCATCCCGAATCGTTTTTGGACCGTCCCGAGGGCCGGCAAGGGCCCCCCGAGGCCGAAAACTTACAACAAAAACCTCCCGTCGCGATTTTGCCCATACCTCGAGGGGGTCTGGAGAGCCAGGACGCCTCGCTCCTGCTCCCTCGTCGACGCCGTCGTCGGCGGCGCCGCCGCTGCGGGCGTGCGGCGCCCGGCGCCGCCGTCTTCCGGAGCTTGTTTTTTTTTTTTGTTTAGACTCTGGCAAGTTCACTTGCATGGACGGGGGGGGGGGCTCAGCCTGAAGCGAGCCGCAAACGACTTGCACGTTCGGGGGGGCGCGGAAAGCACGCAAGGCGAAAGGCACCTGCACGCTGGCATTCGCCTGAAGAGGGGCGAGGGGGGGGGGGGTAGGGGGGGCGAGCGCCATGCAAGTAAACTTGCCCGAATCCACAAAAACAGGCTCGGGCAGGCGCTGGGCCCCTGGCGGCGGCGGGCCGGCGACGCGTCGGCGGCGCCGGCGCCCGCGGCGCCGGCGCCCCCGCGGGCCATCCACGGCCCGCAGGGGCGCGGTGCCGACCCCCCCTCGGGATGCGCAGGGCTCGGACCTGCGCCGCCGGTGCGGCGGCGTCGGCTGCTCGTCGTCTTCGTCGTCGCCTTCGTCGGCTTCTCGTCGTCTTCGGGTCGTTTTTTCGTCGCCTCGCGCTTCCTCCCGCTCGTCGTCTTCGCCGTTCTCACTTGCCATCTCGCGCTCCCTCCCGGAGAGAAAAGTAATGTGCATATATCTGCAACGTGTTGCAGATACATGCATGGGAGCGGCTCCAGGTACTCTCGCCTCGATGCCGGCTACAGGCTGCATGCCCCCTGCAAGCGAGGCTCCAGCTCGAGCGCGGAGGAGGAGGAGGAGGAGGAGGAGGAGGAGGAAGAGCAGGAGGAGCAGGAGGAGGAGGAGGAGGAGGAGGAGGAGGAGGAGGAGTTGGATCCAAATTTCAATTGATGAGCCGCCACCTACGGCGACAACGGCGCTCCCTCGAATGTTCCTCACGAGTTACTCCGAGATGACGCTTGGCCAGAGAAGCCCCATCCGAACTCCAAAGCGGTGCTCTCGCTCTCTCTCTCAGTCTCTCTCTCTCAGTCTCTCTTTCTCGCTCTTTCTATATATTCCTATCACATGTTTTAATTACCTGGGCCCCCACCCCCTAAAGCGGACCCCCATGGGGACGCCCTGGCCGCCCGTTCGGACTTCCCGACGTCCCTTGGACGCCCTTGGACAAGGTCCGCTGGCCCTTCCGGGCCTCCCAGGTCGCCTTGCCGGACCTTGCGAGCAGACTCAAGGCGATCAGAAGGGTCATCGGAACGACGCACGAGAGACCCAAGACAGCGCAAGAGAGAGGAACCTCGACGGTCTGAAGACGGCCGAAAAAGGCCCCCAAGACCCAAGACGCCCCAAGAGGGCGTTAAGAGAGCCCCGAAGAAGCAACAATCCTCCCATTCCCTTCGGGTGATGTTGATTGTTAGCATTTCCACTCTTGGGGTCGTCGGAGCGTCCAAGACGGCCCGATGGGCCCCAGATATCGCCCCAAGACGGCCCAAGATGTCCCCACACAGGGTTTGAAGACGGTCCAAGAGGGCCCCAATACTACCCCAGAGAGCCCCGAGACCGGCCACAAGAAATCCAAGATGCCCCTAGAAGGCTCCGAAGAGAAACCCACGAAAACTATGGAATACCCTCCAGAAGGCCACTGGAGGCCCCCAAGAGAGCCAGCCCTAGAGGGCTTCAGAAGACCTCTAGATGGCCCCAGCCCCCCAAGACGGCCCAGGAAGGCCCCACGACGGCCCAGGTGGGCCCCAGGACGGCCCAAAACAGCCCCAAAAACGCCCAGACGGCAGTCTCCTACGAAGTACATCGAACTGACCCGAAGATCCTGGTTCCACACTTGAGGCTCGAGATTTAAATTCCTCGATCGAGTGAGACAAGTCTCCCCCCCCTTCTTCCCCCTTCCGCCTCCTCAGCCGCCCCATCATCTCTGCTCCCTTCCGGTTCCCCGTTCATGGACAAGTGCCATCGCAACAATTTGATGCTTCGCTTGCCAGCATCTTCGTGCGTAAAACATCATCATTCCTTCCCCACTCCTGCGCAGAAGCATGCAAACGCATCGGGCGAACGCGGTGTCAGCAGACACCAAGGATATCAGAAAAATAAGCCGGTCGCCCGTCCAGGCCTCGAGGTCCCTCTGCTGAAGCAAGCGATGATGTATTGCCTTGCCGGGGAAGCGTCCGGAACAAGGCGCATGGCGCGAAGCCACTATGCAGTCTTGTATATCTATACATATATATATATATATACATACATATATATATATATATACATACCTTCTCGCAAATAGTGAGCGTTTTCTTCTTCGGCGTTTCGACATTGGGCGGAAGGGGGGAGGGGGGGTCTGGCTCTGGAGCTCTGCTTGATATGCGACGGTTCGCAGCAGTGCGCCCTGTGGGAGAGCCTACGCCTGCTCGAAACCAAGCGCCAAAATACAACCAACGTCTGTCCCATGTGGGGGGGGAGGAGGGGTGCGAGGGCCCGCGCCGTTCGGCAAAACAATGACCAAGAAAACGGTCACCAAGTCAGTCACGTCCCCTGTTTGATACTTCCTCGCAATCTGCGCCCAGGCGCCTTGGCCAGAGAGGCCCCCCATATCAGGAACGACGCTCTCGCTCTACACACGTTCTCGCAGATCAATCAAGTTGGTGAAGGCCCAGATTCGAAAACAACGGTTTCTGTCTGCGATTTTCCTCGCTTCTTGCGCCGAGGCGCATTGGTCAGAAGACGCCCCCGCTCTCTGGAATGGCACTCTCGCCCCAGACTTCCTGGCAATCCACTGGCGAGGGCCCAGCTGCGACGACGACGGCTGCCGATCGATATTTCCCCTCGATTTACTCCCACGCGCACTGATCAGAGGCGCCCGCGGTGCAGCCCGCGATACCTTCCTTCTCGAAGTTCAATCAGGTCGAAGGCCCAGCAGCGGCGACAAGCGCTCCCGTTTGAAAATGCCTCGCAATTTCCTCCCACGCGCGTTGGCCCGTCAAACCGCCGCTCTCAAGACCCTACGAGGCCACGAACAGTGGGAGGGGCGTACCAAAATGAGCGTCGGGCCCATGCGGACCCTGCCACTGGCGCCCTCGGTGGAGACGAACCGTGCGAGGGGTGTGCGAAAATGGGCGTCGGGCGCCTGCGGACCCTGCCGCTTCGCAGATCCGCTCTGGCTCGACACCTCCCCGGGATGTACTCCGTGGCGCCTTGGCCAGAGAGCCCCCCCCCCGCTTCGGCGCCCTCGCCCAAGCTTCTCCTGGCAGGTCAGCCACGCTCGTGGAGGCCTCGACGACACCAGCCCCCCCCTTCGACACGCCCCCTCCACGTGCCCGCGGCCCCCCAGGAAAGGTGCAGCGTCACGCTCAGGAGCGGCGGCCTCGCCCGAGACTCCCTCGCGCGGCCTCGAAGGAGGGCGGAGACGCAGCTGCGAGGACAACGGCTCCCGCTCGATACCGCCTCACGGCTGACCCCGAACTCAGGAACGGCGCTCCCTCCCGAGACATCCTCGCAACTCGCCCACGTCGGTGAGCTGCCCGCCCGTCGGCGCGATCGCTCGCATGACGGCCATGGCGGCGCGGTGCGCACATTGAGAACACACTGCTGGATGCTTCCCCCAGGAGTCGGTTTCCCCTCGGGGCCAGACGCCCCCAAGAAGGGGGGTGGTTCGTAGACTCAGCACACGGGTACAGTGGAGGGTGGGACACAAACGAAGTCAAACCAGCTTACCAGCTCACATGTTCGCAAGATGATTTTCGACGTCGTCGTCAATGTCGTCATTTTCGTCATGTCCGTCGTCGTCGTCGTCGTCGTCGTCGTCGGCGCTCGTCGCCGTCGCTCGTCGTCGTGGGCGTGCGTCGTTGCGTCGTTGTGGTCATCGTCGACTCCGTGGCGATCGTTGTCGTCCGTTTGAGCAGGGACCAGCCGTCTCGTCATTCCTAGAGACCTATCACGACATTTTCTTAGGACAATACAATGTTCGCATAGCAAGGACAGGGATATTAGACAATGCGGCCGATGTATCAACGCAGGAAAGTTTCAGCCAAAAGTGTTCTAAAAAAAGTTCGTGCAAACCACAGGAGGTTCTTAGGAAACTCGGTGGTGGGTCCATGGGCAAACAAGGACGCCTCGCCGAGGGAACAGGGTGCCCTCGTCGGCGAGGTCTTCGCTGCGGACCCCGCGCACGGCACGCCCCCCGGCCAGCAGGGGTGATGGCGGCGGCGGCGCTCCGAAAGAGGCCAAGCGTCGGTTCGGACTGCGGAGTATGGTGGGGTAGCCCCCCTCACATCTGTACGCGTCGGTCGGGAAGTAGAACGGCGGACAAAGTAGGTTGGGTTCTGGTCCTCCCAGAGTATAGCAACACACAAAAGCACATCGATTCTTGAAGCGGAGAGGCGCTAGGAGTAGATTGGGACCTTGGGGTCCCAAGAATACACAGTTTCAACGACCGACGTGTAAGCTCGGCACCACTCTGCACGTGGGGCACGCACGGCACAGCCCGAGGTTCGGGCGAGAGGGCCGTGCACGGCCCATGCCGAAAGAGTACACGAGCGGGATCCACCCGCAAGCAGCCAACGGCGCGGCAGACCCAGCGGGGGTGGTGGAGGCGGAGGAGGGGGTGGAGGAGGAGCAGGAGGAGGAGGACGAGAAAGGAGGAGGAGGGGGAGGAGGAGGAGGGGGAGGAGGAGGAGGGGGAGGAGGGGAGGAGGAGGAGGAGGAGGAGGAGGAGGAGGAGGAGGAGGAGGACAGCAGGAGGAGGAGGAGGACGAGGAGGGGGAGGAGGCGGGCGAGGAGCTGGAGCCAGAGCTCTTTTCGGGGCTGCGGGCCTCCGGGCCTCCGCGTGGACGGGCCCTCTGCAGCCCACCCTCTCCGCTCCGCTCTCTCCGCGGGCTCGTGCCGTGCTGGCCCCGGCGCTGGCTCCCGACACCGCGCGTCATCGTCGTCGTCGCCGTTGCTGCCGTTGCCGTCGTCGTCGTGGCCGCCGCCGCCGTCTTCGTGGTCGTCGTCGTCGCCGTCGTCGTCGTCGTCGTCCTCGTCGTCGTCGTAGTCGTCGTCGTCGTCGTCGTCGTCGTCGTCCTCGTCGTCGTCGTCGTCGTCCTCGTCGTCGTCGTCGTCGTCGCTGTCGTCGACCGCGGGGATCGTCCAGCCTTCAACGATCCGCCGTGCCCGAAACGTCAGATCGTTCCACGATGCGCCGATTCTGGGACGCCGGCGGCGCTCCACCCCGAACGCCAGTGCTGGGGTCGTCGCCGCGTCGGCACGACGCGAAGCGTGCCGTGCCGCACCCGTGCCCCTCACTTCAGCTTCTTCTTCGGGCGCAGGTAGTTGGTGTGGCCGCACTTCTTCTTGCGGCAGTTGACGGCGCGCGCCGGCAGGCGCGCGTAGCACTTCCGGCAGATCATCCTGTCGCAGTTGTACTTGCGGGCCAGCACCGCCAGCGACGGCTCGATCACCCCCCCACGGAGGCGCAGGACCAGGTGGAGCGTGGACTCCTTCTGGATGTTGTAGTCGCTGAGCGTGCGGCCGTCCTGGGAGCTGCTGCGCGCGAAAGGGGGGATCGGCCCTTTGACGATCTGAAGCATCCCCTTCGACTATACGCAAGAGTGACCCTGGGTAGGAGTGACCTTTGGTGCGCGGCTTTTTGGGCGCCGCGGGGGGGGCCAAAAACTAGCGCGCGAGACACCACTACCGCATCGCGTTCGGCGAACAGGGGGCCCCATTGGGCCCGCACCAGAGGTCACTCCGGCGAAAGGTCGCTCTTTCGTGTAGTCGACCCCTTTTCTGAAGATGGGGAGGGGCCTCCATGATTTGCGGTCTGTCGACCTTTCCGCGGCTCGTGGGGGAGGGGCCTCCGTGGCCACGGCTGGAGGCGGCCCGAAGGAAGAGCCAGCCTGGATGGACCCCTGGAGCAGTCACTGCTCCTCTCCCCCTGCGCCGCGACCAAGCTGGCGATATAACGTGAGGAATGACAACACGGAGGGGATCGGTGAGCAATCATGGAATGGACCGGGGACAGGCTGTGAGCGGAACATGGTCGGGGCGGCTCGAGGAGGAGGAGGAGGAGGAGGAGGAGGCGGAGGAAGAGGAGGAGGAGGAGGAGGAGGAGGAGGAGGAGGAGGAAAGAGGAGGAGGAGGAGGAGGGGAGGAGGAGGAGGGAGGAGGGAGGAGGAGTGAGAAGGAGGAGGGCTCCGTCCCGGTCGGCTTTTCCACACTCGACCAGCCATGCCGGCGGAGGGAGGTCCCGAAGTTTGGAAGGCTCGAACGTCTTAGAAGGGCCCGCCTCCCCCCCGCCCCCCCTCGCGCCACCCGCGTCTGCGCGCCGCGTGGGCCTCCAGCTGCTTGCCGGCGAAGATTAGGCGCTGCTGGTCGGGGGGGATGCCCTCCTTGTCCTGGATCTTGGCCTTCACGTTGTCGATCGTGTCTGAGGCCTGGCAGGTGTGTAGATGAAGCAAGATGTCGGTGCGAAGCACGGTCTTACACCCCAAACAACAAAAAAACAAAAAGGGCTGACGAACTCGATAGAACTCCGCCCTGTCCGACTCTACCGGCACAGGTGGCCGGAGGCTGAGCGTGCAAGTGCGAGCGACTGGAAAGTCGTCGAAATTTCTTTCAGCAACGCCAACTGCAAGCAGAAGGCGAGGAGGATCGCGGAGACAAGGGCGTAATGTAGAACACCACGCCACGAAGTCCTGTCCCGTTCGACGGGCGCCGAACGGCCACATTCCGAGAGTAACGCCGACGTCGTGCACGCAAACGGCGTCGAGGAGCGAGGAGTGAAGGCCTGGACACGCGTCGTGTCTGAGGCCTGGCGTGTCTGAGGCCTGGCAGGTGTGGAGGGTGAGGCAAGATGTCGATGCAAAGCACGGTCTTACACCCCGAGTAAAAAACATAAAAAGGCAGATGAACTCGATAGAACTCCGCCCTGTCCGATACTACCGGTATGGGTGGCCGTTTAAGGTCGCCGAAATTTCATTGAGTATCGCCTACCGCACGCAGAAGGCGACGAGGATCGCGGAGACCAGGGCGTGTTCGCGGCCTGGCAGGTGCGGAGAGTGTGTCAAGCGAAGCACGGTATTGCACCCCGAACGAGTTATCCTGCCGAAGGGCCCAACGGTTTGTTGTTGTGGGTGCCGCAGATTTGTGGATCGCCTTCGGTTGAGCTCCTCAATTATGGAGACGCGAAGCGTGTGAGGAGTGTGCAGAAACAGCGGGGAGCCGCATGCGAGGATGGCCACTGGGGCCTCAAGCGAAGCTCCCTGGGGCCACGAAACGATCGGGGGGTGTGCCACAATGGGCGGGGAACCGCTATGGCCGTAGCTCCCCCTGGGGCCGGGAAACGTGTGAGTGGTGCGACGAAGTGGGCGGTGAGCCGCATGCGAGTCCAGCACTAGGGCCTCAGGTGGAGCTCCCGAAATGGTCGTGCGGAGGGGCGGGGAGCCGCAGACGAGTCCAGCCGCTGGGGCATTAGGTGGAGTTCCCTATGGGGCCACGGCGCGCGCAGGCGGGTAAACCACCAGTCGGCGGCGAAGGCGCGGGCGTCGCGACGGCACAGCCGCCGGCACGACGCAGGACGGCGGCGCGGCCGCCGGGGCGGCTGCTGAGACGGCCGCGGGCGGCGCGGGCGAGGCCGCCCATGGCTGCCGCGCGGGCAGCGGCGAGGGCGCCCGCCGACGCCAGGGCCCCCGCGGCGGGCGGCGGCGGACGCCGTCGCGCCAGGCGGCGCCGAGACCATGCTGGCGCCAGGCGCGGCCGACGCGGCAGGCGGCGGGCGGCCGCGCGCGCGGAGGGCGACCGCGCCGCGGCGGGCGGAGCTGGCGCCGCGGCGCTGGGCTCGCGGCGGGCGGCGCTGGCGCGGCGGCCGCGGGCCCCGCGCCCTCGGCGGCGCGCGCGCGCAGGACTGCGTGCGCAGGCGGACGCGCTGCGGCCGCTCCCCGAGCTGGAAGCCACTGCCGCCCTCCTCCAGCTCGCGGCGGAAGCCGCACGCCGCGGCGAGGGGCCGCCTGCGGAGGCGACGACGGCGGTCGCGCGCGCCGCCTGCGCGGCTGCAGCGGCGGCCCGCCGCGAGGCCGGGCTGACGCAGACGGGCGCCCAGTGCCGCGCGGGGCTTCTCCTGGCGGGGCCGCCGCTGGGAGGGGCGAGCGCCCCGCAACGTCGGGGCGCGGTGGCGACGGGCGCTGGCCGCGCCGCACGATGCACTGTTTGCTGTTGCTGCTGCCGCTTCTCTTGCTCTCCCCTCCCTTGCTCTCCCCTCCCCTGTCGTTTTCCTTTTCCTCCTCTAGCCGCACGGCGACCTCTCCAGCGAAGCTTACGACGGGTGTGCCGACATGGTCGTGCGGACGGGGCGGGGAGCCACATGCGAGTCCAGCCACTGGGGCAGTAGGTGGAGCTCCTCATGGGGCCACGAAGTGTGTGTGGGGTGTGCCGACATGGTCGCGTGAAAGGGCGGGGAGCCGCACGCGAGCTCAACCACTTGGGCAATAGGTGGAGAACTCCATGGGGCCGCGAAACGTGTTAGGGCTGCGCCGAAATGGTCGTGCGGAGGGGCGGGGAGCCGCATGCGAGTTCAGCCGATAGGGGCATTAGGCGGAGATCCCTACAGGGCCACGAAACGTGCGAGTGGTGCGCCGAAATGGTCGTGCGGAGCGGAAGGGAGCCACATGCGAGTCCAGCCACTGGGGCAGTAGGTGGAGCTCCCCATGGGACCACGGAACGTGTGGGGGGTGTGCCGACATGATCGTGCGAATGGGGCGGGGAGCCGCATGCGAGTCCAGCCGCTTCGGCTATTAGGTGGAGCTCTCCATGGGGCCACGAAGCGTGTGAGGGGTGTGCCGACATGGTCGTGCGGAGGGCAGAAGCAGGGATCGGAGGAGGGAGGAGAGAGGAGTAGTGAGGAGGACGCACAGGGGTGGGAGGAGGGAGGAGGAGGGAGGGGGAGAAAGAGAGGAGAGAAAGAGAGGAGATGCGAAGACGCGGCATTCTCTCTTCAACACGAGAACCCAACACCACAGGATGGCTGGGGGGAAATAGAGAGAGGCATGCCGACGAGCTCCAAGGAACTCCGCCCTGTCGAGCAAGCATGCCGGCACGGATAGCTGGAAGCTGAGCTGCCTCGTCGTCGAGGTAATGTGGAGTCGCCGCAGTTTCTTGTGTAGCGGATGCGGAGGGTGAGGTAATATGTCAGCGCGAAACCGTTGGTGCGAAGCATGGTCTGACACCCCGAAATGTGAAAATGTTTGTCAGTTCGACCCCAATCAGTGAAGTATTGCTTTGTAGAAGTATCAGCTAGGTGGTGCAAGCTGTGTCGCGTAAGCCCAGTGTGGAAAGCTACGTGGTGCAACATATGTGGTGCAAGTCGGGTGGTGTAAGCAGTGCGGTGCCAGCTGCATGCTGTAACATCAGTGGCGCAAGCTAAGTTGTGCAAGCCATGTGGTGGAAGCTAGGAGGAAAAACGTATGTGGTGCAAGGTGGGGTGGCGCACGTGGTGTAAGCAGTGCAGCTCCAGTAGAGGTGGTGCGAGCTGTGTGGGTGTACGCCATGTGGTGACGGCTATGTGGTGAAGGCCACAGGCGAAACCTCGACACACCCTCCGAGCGAAGGAGGCGCCCAGGAGGCGCCCAACAGGGGGGCACCGGGCGGCACCTCCACGGACCCTCCCAGCGCACCAACGTGGCCATGAGGCGCCCGCCCGTGGGCGGGCGCCGGGCAGAACCTCGCCAGCGCACTGCGCGCCCACGAGGTGCCGACGGGCAGCCCCCCTGTGCACCCGGCGGAACCTTGCCTTACCCACCCAAGCCTTCTTGGAGAGAAGGAAGATTCCCCCTGACCACTGTGGATGCCACGACAGTGGACATCCTAACAGTCCTATCATCGAATTACAAATATGTTTGACATGTCGGCAAAAATGTCCTGAAAATCCGCCGGCCCCCTTGTGGGGCCACCAGGCTGTAGGCCCGTGATTCGCAGTTTCCTGTACCAGTTGTAGTTTCTAGTTTCCAGTGTTACAGTTCTGCTTCTTGCTGGTTACTGTAACTAGTTGATTGACCGCGCGAGGGGGGGGGAGGCCCAAACAGGATTTTCCAGCGTCCCCTGGGCGCGTTGTCTGAATTGCTGGGGGGGCTCGAAATCTACACCCCTCACGCAGATCCGCGGGGTCAGGGTCCAAAAACAAAGAGAATTTGCCACATTTCTGAAATTCGGTTCCATCCCTCACGCAGATCCGCGGGGTCAGGGTCCAAAAACACATGAGATTTGCCACATTTCTGAAATTCGGTGCCACCCCTCACGCAGATCCGCGGGGTCAGGGTCCAAAAACACAGGGGATTTGCCACATTTCTGAAATTCGGTGCCACCCCTGACGCAGATCCGCGGGGTCAGGGTCCAAAAACACAGGGGATTTGCCACATTTCTGAAATTCGGTGCCACCCCTCACGCAGATCCGCGGGGTCAGGGTCCAAAAACACAGGCGATGTGCCACATTTCTGAAATTCGGTGCCACCCCTCACGCAGATCCGCGGGGTCAGGGTCCAAAAACAAAGAGAATTTGCCACAGTTCTGAAATTAGGTGCCACCCCTCAAGCAGATCCGCGGGGTCAGGGTCCAAAAACACATGGCATTTGCCACATTTCTGAAATTCGGTGCCACCCCTCACGCAGATCCGCGGCGCCACCCCTTACGCAGATCCGCGGGGTCAGGGTCCAAAAACACAGGGGATTTGCTACATTTCTGAAATTCGAACCCATCACGCACATCCATCGCAAGGCGTGGTAACCCAAACTGCGAGAACTCCCTTGGCCCTTTAATCGCAAGGTGTGGTAACCAAGCCCTTAAACCATACACGTCTTGACAATTGCCAGGTGTGGTAACCCCTCTTGTGATCAGTTGGTTTTGCTGATTGCGACTCGGCTTCGCATGAAGTTTCGATACTGCTTCACGACAGCGCCAAGGCCTCATGACTTAGCTCGTCCATGGCCCATTCTCCGAGAGAGGGGGCCGGCGGCAGGGGGCGAAGCCCTTACGGATGTTTGAAGGATGGTTTTACATGTTTAAAACAATGTTAACACATGTTCTATACATATGGAAACTATTTGGCAACATGCTTCCTCTCCATTGATCGTCCTCCACAAAATTACCATCGCTCGGACGTCCAATCCCCGCGCACGCTTCGGCTTCGTGCGTGTTTTTCTCCAGAGGGCCCCATCTGTTTCTAGATGGTCCAGATGTTCTGGCGCTGGCCTCGGCGAAAAAATGCACGTGTTCGAGCGATGCCAAGCCCCACGTGCAAGCTGTTCTTGGCGAGCCAGAAAGGTCGATGCGCTCCAAAGAATCCCGCCCTGTCCGGAATTACGGGGGCACGGATCGCCAGACGTCGAGCGCGGCGCCCGCCTTGCATCTGAGGCCAAGCAGGTGCAGAGGGCGAGGCAAGAAGACGGCGACGCAATCGGAGTCATACCCCAAACGCATCGGCTAGGCATACAGTAGGGGCCCTTCTACAAGAAACTGTCCACAAGAAACCAAACCCTGAGACCTCAGGACGTGCATTCATTTTTGGTGCTGGATCGTGACGCTTTCCACCGCAGAACCACCGAAACCCAAGAAACCCAGGGCACCCTGGATGCAAGCAGGGAGTTTCTTGGCATGGGCCTCGACTGTACGCAACAAGAGAAGGGTGGATTCACATGCAGCACGTGGTGGGGTTCACGCGCGGGATTCACATGTGGATGGCCGCCGTGCCCGGCCACACGGTGCCAGGCGCTGCAACGACGAGCGGCCACAGATGGCCTGTTCTGGAAACGCTGGACCCAAAGACGTTGCCATGTCTTGGGGTCGCATATCTAACTTCCGCTGGCTTCCACTGGCCGTCCCCCGGCGGGAGCGGCCTCGTTTTGCCTCCGCGGGCTTCCGCCGCCCTTCCGCCGAGGAAGAACTGCCAACTCTTGCGGCCCTCGAAGGCGAGGCCGCTCCTGGAACGCCTCGCGTCTACCCGATTCTCGCCCATGTCATGCACAACCCGCTCACACGTGAACTTCGTAAGGAGCCGAACGCTATATACACCGACGCTTTTTCCGGCCCCGCACCGAAACTCGCACCAGGATCCGCGTTCCTGAGGAACGCGGATCCTGATGCATACGGGGCTTTGGTGTATAAATCTTCCGTTCTTGCCACGGGAGAGCGGGGAAACAAGTATACACCACACCACGCCGACGTCGTCGCCGACCCTCAAAACTTCTTGGGATCGAAAGGCAGCCCGCCACTGGTATTGTATATGCTCCAATTTCCGACCTCGGACCCCGGCAGACGGTTTCTCCGCCGGCGCCTGACACCCTCCGAGCACTCCTCCCCAGCGCGCGAAGCACGCCGGGGGCGGCGGTGTCGAAGAGGGTTAGGGAATTAAGGGGGTAGGGAATTCAGAGGGCACGGCGTCGGCGGAGCGACTGTCTGCGGACCTTCGGACGTTTTGCTCGCGCGGCGTTGTTGTTTTTTGAGGCCTCGACGTCGAGCGTGATCGTCTTGCCCGTGAGCGTCTTCACGAAGATCTGCATCGCGACCCCCTCTGCCCGGGTCCGGAGGGACTCTTGAGGAGGGGGCGGCGGCGCAGCCGCGGCCAGTGTCGCCGGAAGCCAGAGCGGCCCGAAGCTGAGGCGGCTTGCGCCAGATCGGCACGGAGGAGAGGGAGGAGGAGGAGGAGAAGGAGGAGGAGGAGGAGGAGGAGGAGGAGGAGGAGGAGGAGAGGAGGAGGAGGAGGAGGAGGAGGAGGAGGAGTAGGAGGAGGAGGAGCAGGAGGAGCAGCAGGAGGAGGAGGTAAGAAGGCGGAGCACGAGGGAAGGGGGAGGAAAGCACAGCAGGCACGTAATTACGGCGGGGAAACCTGGCGTGAGATCTCCTGCAGGAGTGTCCGGGGTTGCCAAAAAGGTGCCCCTGGCCCAGGAGGTATCCCTGGCTTTTCGCGCCGTTTTGGGGGGCACCCTGGGGGCCTCTGCAGGCTTCGTGGTGGGGTTCTCTAAGGAGGCCGCGGTGGTCTCCTTGGAAATCCTGAGCTCCCCTTGGGCCAAGGGCACTTGAGCGCGTTTCCTTATTCGCGGCGAGAACGGGCGGTCGGTATGGTGGGGGGGGGGTTGGTCGGGGGGGCATAACGTAACGCGCCACCACAGCGTCCGGCGTTTCCGGCGTTTCGCGCCGCCACCATAACGTAACGCCCCCCCCAAACCGTGCGTTCCCTGCGCCACCACAGCGTCCGCGCGCAGGACGACGACAAGCGACGACGACGACGTCGACGACGAGCGACAACGACGACGACGACAACGACCACGACGAGCGACCACGACCACGACGACGACGAAGACGACGACGACGACGAGCGAAGACGACGACGACGACGGCGACGACGAGCGACCACGACGAGCGACCACGACGACGACGAAGACGACGACGACGACCACCACGACGACGACGACGAGCGACGACGACGACGACGACGACGACGACGACGGCTCGACGACGAGCGACGCCTCTGGAGGTCTCCCGAGGTTTCCCGAGGCCTCTGGAGGCTTCCTGAGGCCTCTGGAAGCCTCCAGAGGCCTTCCGGAGGTCATCCGAACGTCTCCAGAAACCCTCGAAAGTATTCTAAGGCGTTTGACAACGACCAGCGAACGCGAGCAATGACGGCCGACGACAATGACGACGACGAAGATGACGACCGACGACGACGACGACGAAGACGACCGACAACGAAGAGCGACGACGATGACCACTACGACGATGAGCGACGAACGAAGATTACGAAGACGACGACGACGACGACGACGACGACCGACAACGAAGAGCGACGGGGAGTTGAGGCCAGCACATGCCTGCGAAGGCGTCGTTGCCTCCACGTGGCGTATAAGAGGCATGCTCCTTACCTCCCTCCTCCATCCTCGTCGTCGTAGTCGTCGTCGTTGTCATCGTCGTCCTTCTCCTCCTCTTGCTCTCTCCCTCCTACGAGCGCCACAGGTGCCTGGAGCACCGCAACTTGCCCACGACAACAGTCCCTATGCGGATCTCTATGCAGATCCCTATTGTAACTCCTTCTGGGGATCCCTATACGCATCCCTATGCGGATACCCATGAGGATGCCTATGCGGATCCTTTTGCGGATGTCTGCCATGCGGATCCCTGTGCGGATCCCTCTGCGGATCCCTATGCGATTGCCTCTGGGGATCCCAATGCGGGCCCCAATGCGGATTCCAATGCAGATCTTTATGTATGCGGATCTCTCTCTATATATGTATATATATATATATATACCCTGGGGATCCCAATGCGGATCCTGGTGCGAATCCCGGTGGATATCTCGATGTGATCCCTATGCGGACTTCTGTGCGGATGCCTATGCGGATTCCTATACGGGCTCCTATGCGGATCCCTATGCGCACGGCGGCAGTGCCGGGGGCGCGCTGGGGGCCGGAGCGTTACGTTGTGGGGGTGAGGGGGGGCGTGGGGGGCCATAACGCGCGTTATGGCCCGAGCAGTACAGAAACAGGCTCCTTCTACAACCCCGTGCGAAATGCAACTGGTGTTTGGTGAGACCCCCGGCCCCCCATTTCAATCTTGATCGCGCGACCAGCGAAGTTCGAAAAAAAAATCGGCAACGCATTGAACATTGAAATTGGGGGGGGTCGAAAAACAGCAGTTGCTTTTTGCACGGGGGGGTAGCAACGCCCGAGAACTAGGCAACCCTTCCGCTCCGCAGAGCGCACCGGGTATTCGTGTGGGGCTCGCTGGCGGGCTGGTCTCTCCCCTGACGCGCCTGCAGACAGCAGGGGCCGGCAACTCCTCCTCCTCCTCCTCCTCCTCCTCCTCCACCGCGAGAAGCCGGGGTGGGTAGGTGCCCTCCATGTCGTGCGGTGTGCCCTGCCCCTCCTGCCCGGCCGGAGACACTTCCGTGGAGTGCGGATCCGAGGAACTGGCTCGCGGGCGGCATGTCCACGGGTCGGGGAAAAAGCGCCCCGCGGAAAGATGGCGACGCTGCCGCCTGACATGGCGAGGGAGCGAGTAGAATCTGCTTCTGCACAGACGCGGGACCCGTTGCTATTCCCAGCCCCCGTGGACGCCCAGCGGGTCTGGACCCATCCCCCGGGTCCAGCTTTCCATTCTGAATCGATTTCTGACGGCCCCGAGGGCGGGCCAGGGCCTCCAGAGGCCGAAGGCAGCGAAACGCCTCCCGTCACGCTTTTCATTACCCGAGGGGGTCTGGGTTCCACACGCCTCAATCCATGCCTGCGTTTCCTCAAAGTTCCGCGCGCTTCGCGCTTCGCGCTTCGGGAAGCGCTCCGCGCTGCCCCCCCCCCCTCCCCCCGGGGAGAGGAGGAGGAGGAGGAGAATCGGAGCCGCCCCGCGAAGCGCGAATCGCTTCGCGCCCTCAAGGGCACCCTTGCTCCCCGGGGGGGGGGGGGGGGGGGCACTGGCGGCCTCTTCGCCGAAGGGGTTCCCCCAAGGGGTTCCCCCCCCCCCCCCCTCATTGGTGGCGGGGGGGGGGGTCGCCGCCCCCTCCCCTCTGACGCGGCCGCGGCGACGAACAGCAAAAAACGTCAGCCGTCATAGCTGGTGCCCGCGAGGCCCCCCCCCTCGTCGGGCCTGGCCGGAACGAGGGTATCGTCAACCCGTAGAATTAGGTCCGGCATGTCCCCCTACCGGCGGGTTTTGGAAGAAAAATGAAAAGAAAGTCAACAAATGTTGCACATGGCCAAAAATTAAGCAAAGAATCGTCCCGAGACTATGTTTGGACTCTTGTTGAATATTCGTCCTGCAGAAGGACATGGCCGACTTAACCGTAGAATAAGGACGCACGATGAGGACGCAAGGGCCTTGGAAGGCCATGTCGCCAAGTTGCGAGCGGCGCGCGGCCAGCGGAAGCGGCCAAGGATGGGCCGAAGGGAAAGGATGCAAGGGTAACCTTGGAAAGGTGTTCATCCCTAATCTGCGGGTTGGATGTTTGAAGCAACGCTACGACCCCCAATCAGCCTCAAGACGCCCCCGAGAGGCTCCAACAAGAGCCCTAGGCCGCCTCAAAACTGCCTCCGAAAAAGGCTCCGCCAGGCCCCCCAAAGCAGCTCCAAAGACGCCTACGACCATCCCCAAGCAGTGCCCGTCTTTTGGGGGGGGTCGGCGGGATAGCGCAAGCCGCTGAATAGAAAACGACGCTACGATTGGTTCAGGATGCGTTCTGGGAGTTCCCGGCTTTCCATCGGCCCTCGGTCATTCGCGCTCGGCCGTTCGCCCCTGGCCGCGCGGGGCAACCAGGAGACCGCGACCGCATATCTGTACATGAGCGGTCTTACGCCAACCCTGGGTGCGTGGGTGAAGTGGGATCCCGTGGCCCGAAATCAGTTTCTTTGTCGTTTTTGTGGTTGAACTCACATATTGAAACTGCATTTTTTGTAAAAAAAACAAGTATTGCTGATCTCCCTCATGCACATGGTAACTATTAGATTGAAAAACCCTCTCGTGACTCGCGCCCGTCTTTTAACCAAGGAACACTTTGACTCTCCAAACTGTATTGCCGGCGCCAGAACTACTACAACAGCTGCTCCCGCATGATGCTTTCTCACAATGTAATGAAGACTCGCGCTGTCGCTCTGGATTTCCTGGCACTCGACAAAGGAATCGCGCTCTCGCGATGGACCCCTCGCAATGTATTCAAACGCCGCCCCTCGATACTGAGAAATCAAGCTTTCGCTGTGGACCTCCTGGCGATCTACTTGGGAACAGCGCAATTTCCAGACTTCCTCGCAATTCACGCAAGACTGACGCTTCAGCGACCCGCCCGCTCGACGCGGACCGGAGGAGCAAGGAGGAGCAAGGTGGACACACCGAGGATGAGGAGGCCGCCGCCGCCGTCACTGCAGCCGCCGCCGCCCTCGCCGCCACCGCAGCCGCGCCCGCCTAGCGTCGTCGACGCCAGAAGCGGCCCGCCGCCGCGCCGCCGCCCGACACGGCAAGGAGCTTGTGCTCAACGTGTCGCGGTGACAGGCCTGGCGACACGCGATGCCTTGCGAGCGGATGGCGCGTCGCTCCGCTGCGCGTGGCTGGGGGCCGGGAGAGGCTCGATGCTCCTCAGAACGTGGGCTGGCACGAGTGACTGTCCGCCAGAGCGCGTTGACGCCTGGAGACCAGGAAGTGGATAGCGCGTCGCGCCGAGGCGACGTGCGCCAGAACTGGCGGAGCGAATCGCTACGCCAACGTTCCCGACGGCATCCCGATGTCGAGAGAAGGATGTTACGGTGCGATTGGCGCGGGATGCGCTGCAAGAAGACTTCCCGAAATATCTGGCGGCCCTCGTCTGTGCGACCCGTGGAACAGGAGAAGCTCTGGGAGTGCCTGGGAATCAAGGGACGAATCTGGACGAGCCTGGGAATCTTGGGATGAGAAGGAGAAGGCCTTCTCCAAAGAAAGCGGGACTTCTCAGAAAGCCCCCGGCCTTCTGAGAAGTTTGTTTGTGTCTTCGGGGGAGGCTTAGAAAACATCTGAGAAGGCCGGAGGACTTCCGAGCCTTCTGAGAAGGCCCACCCCTTCTCGGACGCCTGGTGGCTCCTCGGTCATAACTCGGCTCTCCGGTGGCCATTCGGGGCGATCCAGGTATCCCGGGAACGCTCTCGGCGAGGCGCAGCTGCTGG